AATACAAAATGTATCTACTAGCTTCCTCTACCAAAGAAGTAACTACCGGACATGGTCAAAACATACATATAAAACAAGCATTAGCTGTATTGTATTGCAGTTATCTATATTAGCCAATCCTTTTTAAAAAGACATTGTGGTGTCATTGTGACGCAAAGCAAAAGGTATTGCTGGATAAGACATAGCCTAAGCAGCACTAAATGCAGTTCAAATTTCAGTCTGAACTTAAAAGGAAATAGATGCCAAAGTGACTACTTCCTTTAAAGTTGGGCTGGTGCCTGGAGCTGTTGCTCAAATTCTTCAGTATGCCCACTGGGGACCCTGATATGCCATGTATCACATAGTCTGTTTTGCCAAGAAAGCAGTGGAGGCTGGTGACTCCAATGCTGGAGGAGCGATAACTCTAGTGTGGGTTTTACTCTAAGCCTATTTCCCCCCCAAATAGGTTCAGCTCTGGTGCCTCTAAAGTCCAGACTGAAAGCTGAAGTGGATAGCTCACCACCTAACAGCCCTGACTTCTTCAAACAAGCTTTTGAGAGCCTCTTAACCTCTTCCATCTGTACTTTTGGCAGCAATAAAATTAAGGGTGCTGTCCAAGTCATATTTATTTATTTAAAGCATTTTTATCCTGTCCTTTACAGGAGTTTCAGGGCTCAGGACAGCATATCTAGAAAGAAAGAATTCTTAGAGCTCTCAGTATTCATCAGAGTTGCCTAAATCGTGCAAAGTCAGGTGCAAGAAGACGAAGGGAGGAACAAAAGCAAACAATTTACCTAACGTAAGTGGTAAATCAGAAGGCATAGGTGATAATCCAGTGTCCCAGTTTACATGAGCACAGGGTGAGCACAGAGCTACCCCTGTGAATGCCAGCTGATTTCCCTGATTACCCTCACCAGGCACAGCTTTGGTGTTGTCTAGACCAGGTGAGGTTGTTGAGCTTGTGAGCAAACCACCGTGAGCCCATGGGCTGTTGTATGGTTTTGGGGTGGTTTCTTGACCAGCCCAACAGGTCACCTGTGGGAAGCTGCAGTGGCAGGGGCTTGAATCAGTAATGTGATACTTGCAGGGACCAGAACCCATCATGGTCAGTAAGCTTGAGGTTGTGATAATTGTGCAAACAGGTCTTTATGTCACTTATTTGCAATCAGATCACACTAAGCTAAACTATACATGAAATGCATAGGTCACTAAAGGATTAATGCATTATGTATATGTTATTCACTTAATTATTTCAATCAATTAAAATTCTCTTTTAAAATCAATTTAATTTTATTTCTAACATTCTTTAATTCTCTTTATTTCTTTTGGCACCAGGCAAAGACCTTTCTATTTACCCATTTTAATAATTAAAGATTTTTAAAGAGATTTTTAGATGATATTATTTATTTAAAACTTTTATATCCTGCCCTTCACAATGTCTCAGGGTAGTAATACAATAAAATAAATAAAGATACAGCATCCAAATTATAATAGATAACATCCAACTTTTAAAACACTACTAACATTTAAAATAATGGGAACATAAAAAGGTTTTGGCCTGACACTGAAAAGAATAAAGTGTGCCAGATGCACCTTTCTCACCCCACATTCTAAAACGGGGGTGCAACCACAGAAAGGGGACTTCTCCAAGTAGCCTTTCTTCCAACCTTCTTCAGAGAGCACTCCCAAAGAAGGACCAGCCTCAGTAGATGATCTTAGAGTTCAGGCAGGTATATATAATAGGAGCCGTTCCTTCAATTATCCAGGCCCTAAACTATTTAGGGTTTTATATGTCAAAGTTAACATCTTAAATTGGGCCTGGACTTCCATTGGTAACCAAAGAAAATGATATAGGACTGGTGTTATATGATCACATCTGCCAATCCTAGTGAGCAATCTTGCATCTCTATTCTCTATTTACTGCTCTGCCTTGAAATTTCAGTAATTCTCCTCTGTTTTACTGCTCTGCCATGAAATGTGCATATTTTTAGCAATCTGACTAACTGGTTTACTATTAAATTTGCATATGTTTACCAAAGCACCTCATTTGCTTTCCTTGAAATGTGTGTATCTTTATGCACTCAGCCGATTCTGTCGCAAAATTTGTATGTGCTTAGCTCCACAGTCCGTGTTCTGCCTTGAAATTTGGGCCTGATTGGTGATCTTGTTCACTGCTCTGGAAATCTATCTGCATATCTGATAGCTAACACCGGAGACAAGCAGAAGAAGGTGTCATGCATGAAAGTTGGGGTGTGGGGCAGAGCCACAAACAACTGGTAGCTGCAGGAGTGAAGAAGCTGCATGGGGTATGAGATATTCAATAGAACAGGATGCAAGGGGAGAAGGGAAGTGGTAAATAAAATTGGCAAATATATTGATAAGATATCAGTATTGGTTGAATTGCAGGAAGGAATTCTTACGTACTTGTACAAGACCTTGAAAAAACTGCCAACATTTCCCAGTATGCATAAGGCCACGGAAAATGATTTCCTTTTTGCAATCTGATGCAAGTTGGGGATCTCCTCTCCAAATGCATCAAAACAGGGGATGAATTTGTCATTAACTGAAGAATGTTGCTATGCTGGGCTGTGCAATTTGCAGATCAATTATGGAAAGGGTGCAGATGTAGGGAATGAGAAATCCAAGATTTTTGTTGCAAGTGTCCCTAGGATATGTGCAACAATAGTCTGAAAGCCTGAGGAGAAACAAGTCTTGGCAAGCTGCGGTTACCTGTTGCAGAGGAGTAATGGACACACACACACACACACCCCAGGGCTTATTTTCAGGATGACTCAACATGACATGTGAACTCACCCACAAGCTATTGAATATACTGACTGGATATTTTATTCAGTCCAAACCATACTACGTACCAGTGGGACTCCTTGAGAAGTAAAGATGATATCAATTCGGAAGGGAGGGTATTCAATTTCAATGGGCTACTGACAGCTTTAAGGGTTTAGATTACTGGACCCTACTTTATATATGTCAATCATTACTGTATCAAGTATAAATTTAGATGATTTAAACATAACTTGCTTTTGTACATCACTAGTATAAGCTTCTTCCATTGTTTACCTTTAAGATTAAAGTACATGCAGACCAATTCTGAGTGCTGATGCAGCACTCTCAATATAATTTTTTTTGTCATTGTATGACATGTGACTGGGAAAAGTTTGCTTGGGAGGAGACCTAATTCTGACACAAGAGTGCACTCAAGGGTTCCAAATATCAGCAAGATCCAATGGGCAGGCACGGCAGTGGCTTATAATTAACCCTCCAGCAAGGTACAGTGGCTAACAGTTTCCAAGATTTGAGAGAATGCACTTAGTGAAGGGATGCAGTACCCTGTTGTTGTTGCGAAGTCATGTCCAACCCGTAGCGACCCCATGGACAACTTTCCCCCAGGGCTTCCTGTCCTCCACCATCCCACTTAAGCTCACACCTACTGCTTCAGTGACTCCATCAGCGACTTGTTGCCCAAGAGACTCACTGCCTGGGCTGAGAGCAGGTCTCTAAGACAGTGTTGCTTTCCCCAAAACTGATTGTGGTGCTAGACTTTAACATTTATACCAAACCCAGACCCATATATAGGATAGTGCACACTCCCACTTGGTTTTTTACTGGCCAGATGATCATGTTCCAACGATGGCTGAATTTGGTGCCATGGATAGACTACTATTCTACAGGATTTCAAGTTGCTAGAACTCTACCTCTGCAAAGTTGGGAGAACCTATTACAAAGGGTTTGGAGGTATTGGAGCTTAGGGATTGGAGCTTTCCTTTTGAAACCCTGGTTGATTTGTGGAAGGTCATCTACAATTTGCAGATTGTCTTTCATTATGCTAGTGATACTCAGCTCTATCTTCTTTTCTACTGATGTCAAGCAAGCAATTGAATCCTTGAACCATTATCTGGACACAGGGAGAGACAAGACAGAAGTACTCTTATTCAGAGGAGAAACTAATCTGGGACTGGAGATGGTATTCACTCTGAAAGATAAGGTCTGCAGTCAAGGGTACTTCTGAACCTAGCATGCTCCTTGGAGGGTAATGTGAATGCTCTAGCCAGGAACGCCTTTGCCCAGCTTTGGCTAGTGTGTCAGTTACATTCCTTTTGAAGAAGCCAGATCTGGCTACAGAGATCCATGCCTTAATCACCTCCTGTTCAGACTATGTGGATTTGCCCATGAAGTGTGTTCAGAAATTGTAGTTAGCACAAGAGAGGGCAACAAAATGGCTTCTGGGTATCCACTGATACTCTACCAACTTTACTTGCTTCCAATCTGCTTCTGGGCACAGTTCAAGGTACAGCTGTTTGCCTATATTGTTATAAAGAGGTTATCTAATTGGGTTCATAAAAATGGAAGACAACACAAAAAGAAATGAATAAAAGGAATTTAAAATAATGCCCAAATGAATATGACACACAGGAATACTTATTCTAAGCCTCCAATTCTCTCCCTCTGGGACAAGCAACTGTAGAAATCTGGGGGCTATTTTGACCCCCACAGACCTCTTCTTCAGGCCATGGTCCATGGGATCCATACAGTCCATGAGGTACCCTCCAAAAGGACCAAAATTGTCAGTTTGCTACCAGAGGTCTGTATTAAACTGCTCCATACTACTACAGTTGTTAACTCTTGCTTGCTTGCTAGTTAAATGTAATGCTTTGGCTGCTTTGTAATGACTACAAAGTACCCAAAGAACCAAATGTAGTTTGCAAAGAAGTGAAATTTGTTCACTTATACCCAGTATTCACTAAAGACATTAAAGAAATTAAAGAATAAGAGACACTGGGAGCAGCATATTACCCACACCTGCTATATATATTTAGTTGGGAAGACACATAATTGAACCTAGTGAGATTTATATCTGAGTAAACATGCATAAGACTGGGCTGCCACAGTTTTAAATTATTCCATGTAATTAAGTATAGTAATATACACTTGTCAAAGTCTATCATTTCCTCTGGCTATGTGAAGAAACAAAAAGTGATATAATCCATTAAGAACAAGTCCGATATGGTTCAGATGGTTTACTCTATAAAGGAGAATTACAGACTGTTACTGAATATGAACATTTATTCTTCAATATTCCGTAAAGGAGAGCCTAATAAACTCAAATTTGTACACTCTAAATCATTTGCAGTAGCAGATGCTTTATAAGCTGTCACTGAAACTTTTTTATAGTCATGCATCCCACACTAAGGAAGATCATAGACAGTTCTTGACATACGAACTGTATACATAGTTTCCTTATTATAATGACGATGTCTATCCAATCTCCTCCAAGTCAGTCACCAGAAAAATCTACACACACTTTCACTTCCACATCTATTGACTGCAGCTTGACAGATAACTCCAGTTCCACTTTCTATTTCTGTGTAATGGGAAAAGAGTTCTGGTCCATTAACTCTCCCACTCTCTCCTGCAGAAAATTAACCATCTCAGCTAACACAAAGACATGTGTTTCATCCAAGTCCTGTATGATAAACTTCTTTCCCAAGGCATTTGACTCATCCAAGTACAGCAGGAACTGCTTCATGGCTGGGTCACTGTGGAGACATGAGTAAAATAAGGGTCACATTATATGATACTTCAGTGATTTAAGTTTTAAAGTCTTTGGAATAACAGAGCTCCAATACAGCTCAAGATTTCTTTTTCAGGATGGTCTGTTACTTATCAACAGTCATGAAAATTGACTACATTTTAGAAGACTTATTGAACAATAAAATCCTTGTAGAGTTATTTAGTTACTGAGCTTTAGAAAAAGGATATAGTTGCCAGTGCTAAAGAATTACTGTGAAAAATGGAGAGGCCTCAGTTTAAGACCCCTACTAAAGGTTAAAGGTGGGACTGACCTATATAAATTTTCATACCATGTTTCCAACATAATCTATCAAAATACAACTCTATTTCATCTAAACAGTTGTTTACATAGTAAAAATATGAACTACATTATAACCTAAGGAGAAAAGATACAGGAAAAAATTTGCATTTTTTTACTGCTCACAACAGTAAAATATCCATACAATAATAAAATCAATAAATCACATCAGCATCAGTAGATATCATTAAAACCCCAACATTAACAAAAGGCATTTCAAAGCATGAAAAAACCAAGATGAAGGCACCAAAGAAAATGGTCATAATGTATTCATAATAAGGAGAGAAGAATTATATCAGCTGAAGGCCTTCATAAACAATCAGCTTTTGACCTTCAACATTTATAGTGGCTTTGGCTAAAACTGTTAGTTGTACTTGGAGAATTTCAACCAGGAAGTCATTCCAAGGTCTTTATCATTGAAGTTGCCCACCATGCTTCAATTAGCTGACAAGTATAGCACAGAGACTCAGATAATGACCACAGCACATGAGGAGAAACATAAGGATCTTAAGGGCTGTGTTATTGCTTTGGTTCCAAGTAATTTACATCTTCAAAGATTAAAACAAGCTTCTGTACTTGAGCCTGAAACCAGACTGGCAATGAATGTAAGTCAGTCACAATAGGTGTGAGATATTCTGGTTGCCTTATTCCAGTAAATACACTGGCATTTGTATTTTTCATCAGCTGACCTTTTTCTGATGACCACACAGAGTGAATTATAGTAGTATAGCTTGGAGATAACTAGGGTATAAATGACAGCAGCTGACACACCAGGTGAAGTTATTAAAAAATGCATCCCTTGTTGCCCACACATCCAACAGAAGCACTAGGTGAAGAAACATCCAGGAACTAGAGACCTGAACCTTTAGCAGGAGTGCAGCCCCATCCAAGATGTGGTGCAGCCTAATGCCCAAATCAGATGGCCCAACTTGTTAGGAAAAGTATCAGCTTACTTCCCATACAGGACTTTACAGGAGACAACACTAGTCCAGAGTTTCCACTGCCTTGCTCGAATCAGGTGAATAAGGTTGGCTATGATCAACATATTGATAACCCAACAGGCCAAAACTACAGCTGACTTGCATAAAGTTTCATGTCTCCCATGAAGTTTAATATGTACAAGATGGAATCTTGCCAACCTACACCACAAAATCATATGATAGAGCACAAACATCTTCTGAATCCTATCTTCCAGGAATTAAGTCTATCCAGTCCCATGGAAATTGAACAGCTGAAAGTATCAAACACTGTTGAGATATCAAGAAGCTGCTATAGGGTTGCATTCCACTTGTCTATCTTCTGGCATAAGTAATCTACTAGGACAGGCATAGACGAACTTGTGCCCTCCAGATGTTTAGACTACAACTCTCCTGATCCTTTGCTATTGACCATGCTGGCTGAGGATGGCGGGATGTATAGCCCAAGCATCTGGAGGTTACCAGGTTGCCTAGCCTATATTAGGGCAACTAAGGCAGTTACAATCCCCAAACCTGCCAAAGGTTAGATCAAAGGTAGGAAACCTATGCCCCTCTAAATGTTGCACAATTCAAACTTGAATTAGCCCCAGCAAGTATGGCCTATGGTGGGGCTTGTAGTCTAATAACATCTGGAAGGCCACAGATTCCAGATATCCTGATTGAGATGATTTCATTCAAGAATACTTAGAGGATTTTGCAGTAGTTAAAAGAAGTAATTTTGAACATATACTCAGGCAGACAGGAAGATGTTTAATTCCTGTTAGGCTCTTATGGAGACATGGAGGAATAAAGGTTTGAATTTAGTTACATTCTGTAATCCTCCTTTATAAATTAAACTATCTGATAACACAGAAGACTTGTGCTTAATGGATTGTGTTCTACTGTATCAAGCATTCCTGTTTATTCCTTGTGACCCTGGGTGCCCTCTATTCCATTTTTTCCTATAGTCTCCAGTCACATCAACATTTTATTTATAAAGTACAGTAACAAAAATTGCTCTTTAGCCCACTGGCTTCTTGTACTAGACATTCTGCATGGCAGGAGTAAGACTGCATTGTAGACATGCTACTGCTTACCATTCTATAAGTATTCCTTTCAAAACATTCACCATCTTCCCAATAGTATCAGTTTCCTAAAGAAAACAATGAGAAAAACATAATACAATGATAAACCAAAGTTAATCAAACTAACAAAAAGTTAGTCGTTATTTGTTTTTTCGCGCCAGGCCAAGACCTTTTTATTTAAACATCATTTTAATTGTTAACATTATTTATTGATTTTATATCTTTGGCCAGGACATCTCCAATTATATCGTTTTATATGGTTAATATGCATCTATTTATTGTTGTGAGCTGCTCCAAGGCTTTGGCAAATGGGGCAGCATAGAAGCTTACTAAATAAATAAATAAAATAAAAATCAAATTTCACCATGCTTTTAAGGCCTCAGTGTATGCACATTCATCTGGAATTAAGTCCTGCTGAACCCAGTTGGACTCACTTTCAAAAAAACAGTCACAGCACTGCACTGGCAAATCACCCTACATTTAGTAAACAACTGGCTGCATTACAAATTAATATAATTCAGTATGCGTGCCAATATTTACTTTAATGCAGTTTAAGTGCTTAACATGCAAGTGATATTTAAAGAGAAAAAAAGTTGTTACTTAGATCATTCATAATTTCAAACCTCATGTATAATTATGCTTATCATTCTCTCTCACACATAAAATCCACCTGGAAATAAAACCCAATGTACTCAATAAGACTTCAACTCTTATTGTAAGAATCCCTATGAAAGTTTAAAAGACTAACAGATGTATAGCTAGATTATAGCAAAATCAATTTGTTAGTCTTTGAACTGGCATAGGAGCTTTAAGCACACTGCATAGTCTTTTTGGGCTTAAAGAACAAAGACTCCTATGTCACCTTACAATTTATTAAATTTAAGTATCTCAAAGCAGCCAACAAGGCACCTAGAACAGTAGCGGAATATGGCAAGCCCTGCCCAAAGACTTACAATTAAAAAAAAAGAAAGAAAAAAGACACAACAAACAAGCAGGGAGGAGAGAGCGGAGACTGATAAAACTTAATTTATTGTGATGAGAATCTGCATGGACAGCGGTGCATTCGTGGAAGCTTTTAGGAAGCCCTTGGTGTTTGCTTTAAAAAGCTAAGACAGGCAACCTCGCTGAAGTATTCTACTTATACCCCTTTTTTGTAACTTGGCATGTAACAATGTGACTATGCATTGTACAGTCACAGTGTCGAATATCTAGCTGCAAAAAAGAGCAGACTATTAGCCATCACAGACTCTTTATCTAAAAGACGCGCATCGCTTCTCCCCTTATTGGCCTAAACCAATTTTCACCATTCAGGATTGACGAAAACATCACTCAAGCCTATCTGTGAAGGCTTAACTGGTAAGAGTCATAGCTGACGCGGTGCGGTGGACGAAGAAACCGGCAAGGCAAGGCGGGAATGGGGGAGGGTCTCAACGGCTACACTGCCTGAACAGAGGTAACGGCGGAGAACAAACAACGAAAACCTCTTACGCTTCACTCAACAAGCAACGTCGCCTTGACGACGAGAAAACTCAGCCGCCTTGGTCCAGCAACCGGAAGTGGTGGGCGCAGAACCGCACAGAGCCGGAGGGACGCTCCTCGAGTGCGCAAGCGCCGCCTTGAGTCGCCCTCGGATTGGCCGAAACCTGGTGGTCGCGCTTGCGCAGTTGGGTTTTGGATAGTGCTGCGCTCACGCCATAGCATAGGCTGGGTTTGGAAGCTTTGCTACGTACTGCTGAGACCGGGAAGAGAAATGGACAGGTAGGTGGAGGGGACAGGGGCGTGATCGAAGCCTGGGGCTCCCGACCGGTCCTCGTGTGTGAGAGGAATCAACTTAGTGGAGGATTGTGAATGGTCGTAAGTGGCTGTTACAGCTTTCATATAAGAATTGTGGGCTTGACTTTCTCCTGGAACAAGCAGCTTTCAGAGCAGCGGTCTGTTAGCAAACGACAGTGTCCTGCATATAACCGAAGAATTGTAGTTCAGCTTTTGTAGGTTCATTGAAATTTTTGGGATTTAAGTTGTGCTAAGATTGGATGCGCTTTTACTTGTGAACAAACCCCATTAACCTCCATAGGGATTAATGTTTAGACAGGAAAAAGCCCTACGACTTCCAGCGTTCCTCAGTGTGGCTAGCTAGAGAATGCTTGGCGTTGTAGGATTCTTTTGCCTAAACATGAGGATAGTGCCCTAAGACTTAGGTCTAAATGAAACATTCCTGGCATTGTATGGGATAACTCTTTAGAGAGCCTTCACTTCTAACGTCTACAAAACCTTCTGGTCAATGTGAATATACAGACTCCCAAAGTTATCTCTGCATTTGCATGTGTTCTTAGGAAAACTTGCTGCAGAGGAGTTAATCTGATTTCCAATACTGATTTGTAAGTCAAAGGAAAGCCAAAATGTTGTGCTCAAGCAGTTTTGTTTGCCTTGAAGTCAAAGGTCATTTTTACACAAGTGATGCTTAATTTCCCCTTTGTTTTGATTATTTCTCAGATGTACTGTTTATAACAGCATTTATCAATCTGTCATTCTCCCAATGCACTGGACTGCAAGTACAATAATTCTCAGCCCTCATAGGATGGATATCTACTTTATAATAGATAGTCAATTTTAAATTTTTACATTGTCTTTCTTGTATATACTATCCTATGTGGCACATTCTAGGCTATGCAGTATTAAATTGTAAAAGGCACAGGCAGCCAAGCCTTGGGAACTATCCACACCTGCATGTCTCTTGACTTGTAGAAATAACCCATCTGAATTGAAAAACTTTCTCTATATCCTTGTACCATGTGAAGTACAGTAAGTAGGTGCACAGGGTCTGGTGATTTTGGTCAATAAACAACATATGTGGAACATCCTTCCAAGGAAGGCCCTCTTGCTCCATTGCTGCAATCCTTTCATTCCCCATAAGGATGTCGCTCTGGTAGAGCCATTTGAGTGAGAACATGTTAATCATGTTTCCATATTCAGTAATTATCCTGGGTAGTTGTAAATCTTCTGCATTTTCTAAATCATGTTATAGTTGGAGGGAAAGCTAGTGTGGTGTAGTGGGTAAGAGCATGGGACTGCAGCTCTGGCAATCTGGGTTCTAGTCCCCACTCAGCCATAAAGCCAACTGGCTGACTTTGGACCTGTCACAGACTCAGCCCAACCCACCTCATAGGGTGGTTGTGGTGGTGGTAAGAGGAGGAGAGAAGAGGAGGAGAATTATGTAAGCCACTTTGAGTTCTTTGTAAGAAAAAAGATGCAATATAAATCTAATTAAATAATGAATAAACAATCTTTTTCTTTTAAAAATGGATTAGCTGCTTTTGGGAGTCTTTAAAATGGAAAGGCATAGATGAGATTGCATATGTCTGTATTAAAGTCCACTGAGATGAACGACACCTTCTTACAATTAAACTTGTTTAGTATGTTCAGTTAGGTTCTCAATTTTGTCAGTTCTGAAGAGGATAAATAAATAAAAAATGCAAATTATAACAAGATTAGCTCTGATTTTTTAGACAGCTGTCTTACAATCTAATCTAACTGCATATTTAGAAGTGGAAAGGTGAAGCCAAATGGGGTAAAGCTTATTAGATTCGACTGTCTAGTCCTATACATTATTATAGTGTGCTGATGATTGTAGACTCAAAAGTGTTGAAAGGATCTTGTCTCAGTGTTCTTCATTGCATATTTAGTAATTGAGAACTAAGTGTTGGGGTTTCAGAGTAAGGAATATATTACTTTAAATTATCAAAGGGTTATGTGAGCCCTAACTTCCCATCATTAGAAGATACTCTCTGCTTTAAATTTGCATTTTGCCAGTTAATTGGTTTTTCTAAGAAAACTCTGCTGTATCTTTGCAAGGGATGTGACTAGATCGGTTAGTCATCCCTTAATGCAGAGATGCAACAGAATTACACACCCTCTCAGTGGGTAGGCTATTGTCTCTCTCCCTCTACTTGAGCTGCAGTTTTAAGCTTGTATCCTTTTGATGAGTATGAATACCCATTAAATAGTATGCTCCTCTGAGTACTAAAAGTGAAGTTCTTGTGTGTATGTGTGAATTATGCTTTCAGATGTAATTCAGGAAAGAGTTACTGCAACTATCAAGACTTTAAGAGTAATGGTGTAATTCTTCATGGTGTTGGAAGGGAACTACACGTATTATGCATCAGGGCAGTCCATGATCTGCCCCTGCAACATATATCTGAGTATCTGTGGTATACGGAATAAGATTAAATGGACATCCAGCACAGAACTCAAAGATTTCCTGAAGAAAGTTGTGCAGTCTCTATAATCACTTAGCTACAGCAATGCCAGATGGCTGGCAAATGAGGATAAAGTATAAGAGGAAGTCTAAGACCTGTTAAAAGAGAATTTCATACTTTACAGAATGTCACTTGCTGCTTACTGTGGGATTTGCTGTAGAAAGATAACAACTTTAGATACAGCCCGGAAAACTCACAAAGCATGGAAAGATTTCAGTAAGTGAAATTTTATGATTACTTGTGTAACGGAAACCCATCAATGATTGTTTTCTCTGATGGGCTCATCAGGTGGAGTTTGTTAAAGGTACTTAGATTATCTAGGGATTTTGCATGAAGGTGTAAGTTCTTATGCTAGGAACTGGTTGAACAGCCATCTAGGTATTATTATTATTATTAATTTCATTTATATATCTATATACCACCTAACAGATGCAGCTTTCTGGGAGGTTTACAGTGGTTCATAAACATAAGTACAGTGTAGTAAACATGGAAAATAATAAATACAAATAAAACAAAATAACATAAAATTTCAATATACAAACATTTGGAATATTTTCTTGAAATATTTTTTATTCTAATGTCACAGGATTGCTGAGGAGTTCTTATTTAAGAAAATAAGGGAGCAACTTTATCCAGCCAGCATATTTAAACAGAAACATGCTGACTGGATAATGCTAGAAGCTATAGGACTTTATTTTTGGTCTAAGCATGCATGAAATCATGCCCTCAGTGACTGATAAGTTACCTACAGTCAGTTCTATATTCACTGGGAACTTCCTGTTTTGTTTTCTGAAACACAAAATAAGCATATCGTGGGAAATATTAGTGAAACCAAGGAACATTTCACTGTTATACTTGTGTGTGCGTAAACATGTTGCATTGTATATACCGCAGAGATAGACGATGAGCAATTTGCCCTTTGATCAAGTCCTGTTTGTTGGTGCCAAACCTTGACAATTATCCTGGGTTTTTATCACCTTACACCTCTTACCAGTGAACTCATGATCACTGTGTGTCTACTATATTGGTGATTCTTGTTTCATAGTTTGAGTATTATTGAATTTAACAGGGTTTTTTTGACAAATAAGGAGCTCAAACATTGTTCCTTAACACAAAAAACTTCCCTTTCTGTTACATGCTTTCGAATCATGGCCAGCAGAGGGAAAGTTGAACAATGTTTATCAGTTCCATCATTAAAAGTTAATCAGTTTAATGCATTTCCATCCGCAGTGCTCTATTTATCCAGTTTAAGTTGAAATAGCTTCTAAGGGTGGAGCCCATTTAGAATGAGCCTAATATGTGAGCCGTGAGTACTAATTTAAAACTTGTCAGGTTGATGGTGAAAGGAGTACAAAGTACCTTCTTCTGGTAGAAACAAACTTGACTTTGCAAATCAAATCATATGCAAGTTTACTCAGAAGGAAGTCACATTAAATTCAGTGGGCTTTATTGCCAAGTAAGCATGTTTAGGGTTGAAGCTCTTCAACCTGATCTGAAGCCTATTTTCTTATAAGTAGTTCTATGATGCTGATTCCGCTTCATGGATCACTGCCTTGTTGTGGCAAAGGGGCTTGTGTAGCTCAATGAAGCTATGAGCTATGCCATGCAGGGGCACCCAAGACGGACAGGTCATTGCAGAGAGCTCTGACAAAAGCTGCTCCACAGGAGAAGGAAATGGCAACCTACTCCAGTATCCTTGCCATGAAAACCCCAAAAGGCAAAAAGATAGGACGCCAGAAGATGAGCCCCTCATGTCAGAAGGTGTCCAATGTGCTACTGGGGAAGAGCAGAGGGCTAGTACTAGTAGCACCAGAAAGAATGAAGTGACTGGGTCAAAGCTGAAAGAATACTCAGTTGTGGATGTATCTGGTGATGAAAGGAGAGTCCGATGCTGTAAAGATCTATACTCCATAGGAACCTGGAATGTAAGATCTATGAATCAAGGTAAGCTGGATGTGGTCAAACGAGATGACAAGACTGAACATCGACATCTTAGGAATCAGCGGACTAAAATGGACAGGAATGGGTGAATTTAATTCAGATGACCATCAGGTATACTACTGCGGGCAAGAATCCCTCAGAAGAAATGGAGTAGCCTTCATAGTCAATAAAAGAGTAGGAAAAACAGTAGTGGGATACAATCTTCAAAATGATCTCAGTTCGAATCCAAGGCAAGCCATTCAACATCACAGTAGCCCAAGTCTATGCCCCAACCACTGGTTCCGAAGAGGCTGAAGTTGACCGGTTTTATGAAGGCCTACAACACCTTCTAGAATTAGCACCAAAAAATGATGTCCTTATCATTGTGGGGGATTGGAATGCTAAAGCAGGAAGCCGAAAGATAACTGGAATAACAGGCTAGTTTGGCCTTGGAGTACAAAATGAAGAAGGGAACAGGCTGGTAGAATTTTGTCAAGAGAATACGATGGTCATAGCAAACACTCTTTTCCAACAACCCAAGAGATGACTGTACACATGGACATCACCAGATGGTCAACACAGAAATCAGATTGACTGTGCTCTGCAACCAAAGATGGAGAAGCTCTATACAGTCAGTAAAAACTGGACCAGGAGCTGACTGTGGCTCAGGTCATGAGCTTCTTGTTGCAAAATTTAGGTTTAAATTGAAGAAAGCAGGGAAAAGCACTAGGCCACTCAGGTTTCACCTAAATCATATCCCTGATGAACATACAGTAGAGGTGACAACTAGATTTAAGGAATTAGATCTGATAGACAGAGTGCCTGAAGAACTATGGACGGAGGTTCGCAACATTGTACAAGAGGCAGCAACTAAAACCATCCTAAAGAAAAAGAAATGGAAGAAAGCAAAATGGCTGTCTGAGGAAGCTTTACAAATAGCTGAGGAAAGAAGGGAAGCAAAAGACAAGGGAGAAAGGGAAAGATACACCCAATTTAATGCAGAATTCCAGAGAATAGCTAGAAGAGATAAGAGTGCCTTCTTAAATGAACAGTGCAAAGAAATAGAAGAAAACAATAGAATAGGGAGGACCAGAGATCCCTTCATATCTCCAATTTTCTTGAAGAGATCTCTGGTCCTCCC